AGGTATATGTCGCTTGAACGTGACACACTTTTTTCTCTTGAATGCACCCAAACACCACGCTCAAGTGTCATTTGAGCAAATATTTCTATAAAATCTAATTCTTATCCGATCGACTTGGGGATAGTATAAACATGTTTGCCATGAAATTTCCGTTTTCTCTAATAGCCACATAGCCTATTTGGGAGAAAGGCATTGTATTGTATCTTCGTGGTAAGACCATTGTGTTGTTGACACGAGTGCAATCGATGTAGTTTTTTATTTGGTGCTGGTCTAATGCATCCTTGTGTGACATTTGAAATGAAATTTGGGTGAAATTCCCAAGAAGAGAGAATCCGCCTGACTCAGAGGTGGATTCTCCTTCCACACCATAACCCCTCTCCTCCTTCCCACCTCCCCATCGTCTCCCTCAAGCCAGCAACTACTCTTCATAAGGTAAAGTAAACATTAAAACAGTATAACAAAACATTTATAATTACATGTGCAGTATTATATTTACATAAAAAAATGTCATACAAGTATGGATGTTTTTGGGAGTGGAACGGATTAAATTTATTTCCTTTATTTTAAATGGGGAAATTTGTTTCTTAAGACGAGTTTTCCAGATAACGAGCTCGGTGCCAGAACGGATTAAACTCGTTAATAGAGGTTCCACTTATATACGTCAGATGCCAAGAGTCAATTTAATGATAATTATCGCATTATCTACACTGAAAATAGCCTTTTTATTAGAAAAATGTCATATTGGAGCAATAATAATGGTGAAAATTGTAATATATACAGTACATATTTTAAACAGTTTGAACACATTTCATTTTCACAGAATTTTTAATACAATTGGGGTGTAGATAACAGCTGGCATTGTGTGGCCAGCCGGTCGCTCCCTGAGCCATTGGGGGGGGGGAGGGGGGGGTTGTTTCCTGGATCCCTCCCTCCCTCCCTCCTCTAACAGCCTACGTACTGTACTAATATCTATTTAGAATAAATTGAGTAGGCCAATAAAACAAGCACAGGTCGTGTGAACGTTAGGCCTTGGTGAGGTGGCTGGCATCATTTGTGGTGGTGTCAGGGGAGGCAGGCGGTGTCAGGGGAGGCAGGCGGTGTCAGGGGAGGCAGGCGGTGTCAGGGGAGGCAGGCGGTGTCAGGGGAGGCAGGTGGTATCAGAGGAGGCAGGCGGTGTCATGGGAGGCAGGTGGGGTCAGGGGAGGCAGGTGGTGTCAGGGGAGGCAGGTGGTGTCAGGGGAGGCAGGTGGTGTCAGGGGAGGCAGGTGGTGTCAGGGGAGGCAGGTGGTGTCAGGGGAGGCAGGTGGGGTCAGGGGAGGCAGGTGGTGTCAGGGGAGGCAGGCGGTGTCAGGGGAGGCAGGCGGTGTCAGGGGAGGCAGGCGGTATCAGAGGAGGCAGGCGGTGTCATGGGAGGCAGGTGGGGTCAGGGGAGGCAGGTGGTGTCAGGGGAGGCAGGTGGTGTCAGGGGAGGCAGGCGGTGTCAGGGGAGGCAGGCGGTGTCATGGGAGGCAGGTGGGGTCAGGGGAGGCAGGTGGTGTCAGGGGAGGCAGGCAGTGTCATGGGAGGCAGGTGGGGTCAGGGGAGGCAGGTGGGGTCAGGGGAGGCAGGTGGTGTCAGGGGAGGCAGGTGGTGTCAGGGGAGGCAGGCGGGGTCAGGGGAGGCAGGCGGGGTCAGGGGAGGCAGGCGGGGTCAGGGGAGGCAGGTGGGGTCAGGGGAGGCAGGCGGTGGAAAGAGGCAGGTGGGGTCAGTGGTGGAAGGTGGTGTCAGGGGAGGTGGAAGTGGAGAGAGAAGGGTGGTGACCACGCATGTCTGCCAAACCTCTCATTCATACTCTATTATAAATCTCAATCTTAGCTGTAAAATATTTATGCCAAAATATGTTAATTTTCGTGTATTAATATACATTATTAATCATTAACACGTTTTATTGTTTCCTGTAGAAAACAATAGCTGACTTGGCATTGTGGTGTGTATGGCCGGGTACCTGGGGGGGTGGGGGGGGGGTCCTGGAGGTGTGAGAGGAGACCTGTCAACCCATCATTTTTTTTTTTGTCGGGCAAGTTGAGACGCTTCCAAGCCTGCTGCTTCAATACACGGTGTGGTTGGTGTGGTATGGTTTGGGTGGTGTGGTGTGGTTTGGGTGTGGATGGGTTGGTGTGGGTGGTGTGGTATGGTTTGGGTGGTGTGGTGTGGTTTGGGTGTGGGGGGATGATGTGGTTGGGTGTGGGGGGATGATGTGGGTGGTGTGGTTGGGTGTGGGGGGATGATGTGGGTGGTGTGGGGGATGATGTGGGTAGTTTTGTAGGGTGTGTGGGTGGTGGTGTGGGGAGTGTGGGTGGTGGGGGCGAATGGTGTTAGTGGTGTTGGGGATGGTGTGGGGGTGTGGGGGATGGTGTGGGTGGTGTGGGGGATGGTGTGGGGGATGATGTGGGTAGTGTGGGGGATGATGTGGGTGGTGTGGGGGATGATGTGGGTGGTGTGGGGGATGATGTGGGTGGTGTGGGTGGTGGTGTGGGGTGTGTGGGTGGTGGTGTGGGGTGTGTGGGTGGTGGTGTGGGTGGTGGTGTGGGGTGTGTGGGTGGTGGTGTGGGGGTGTGTGGGTGGTGGTGTGTGGGTGGTGGCGTGCCTCTGGGGTGTGTGGGTGGTGGCGTGCCTCTGGGGTGTGTGGGTGGTGGTGTGGGGGTGTGGGTGGTGGTGTGGTGGGGGTGTGTGGGGGATGGTGTGGGTGGTGGTGTGGGGTGTGTGGGTGGTGGTGTGGGGAGTGTGGGTGGTGGGGGCGAATGGTGTTAGTGGTGTGGGGGATGGTGTGGGTGGTGTGGAGGATGGTGTGGGTGGTGTGGAGGATGGTGTGGGTGGTGTGGAGGATGGTGTGGGTGGTGTGGGGGATGGTGTGGGTGGTGTGGGGGATGGTGTGGGTGGTGTGGGGGATGGTGTGGGTGGTGTGGGTGGTGTGGGGGATGGTGTGGGGGGTGGTGTGGGGGATGGTGTGGGTGGTGTGGGGGATGGTGTGGGTGGTGTGGAGGATGGTGTGGGGATGGTGTGGGTGGTGTGGGGGATGGTGTGGGGATGGTGTGGGTGGTGTGGAGGATGGTGTGGGTGGTGTGGGGGATGGTGTGGGGGATGGTGTGGGTGGTGTGGGGGATGGTGTGGGGGATGGTGTGGGTGGTGTGGAGGATGGTGTGGGTGGTGTGGAGGATGGTGAGGGTGGTGTGGAGGATGGTGTGGGTGGTGTGGGGATGGTGTGGGGGATGGTGTGGGTGGTGTGGGGGATGGTGTGGGGGATGGTGTGGGTGGTGTGGGGGATGGTGTGAGTGGGGTGGGGGATGGTGATTCTCGCATCTCAGATTATTATTGACACCAAAAGAGCATGAAAGATATTATAATGAAGCACCACACAACAAAGAAACAAACTAATGTGTCCTGGCATATGTTTAAAAAAAAAAATAAGAAGGTTGTTGGGGCCGGACGGATGGAACGAATTCCGCACTGGAACGAATCGGCTTCGCCCCATATAGTTCGTTCAAGTGAGGACACACTGTATGTATATGTATGTATGTATGTATGTATGTATGTATGTATGTATGTATGTATGTATGTGTATATATATATATAATATATATATATATATATATATATATATATATATATATATATATATATTATATATATATATATATATATATATATATATATATATATATATATATCGTACCTAGTAGCCAGAACGCACTTCTCGGCCTACTATGCAAGGCCCAATTTGCCTAATAAGCCAAGTTTTCCTGAATTAATATATTTTCTGTAATTTTTTTCTTATGAAATGATAAAGCTACCCATTTCATTATGTATGAGGTCAATTTTTTTTTATTGGAGTTAAAATTAACGTAGATATATGACCAAACCTAACAAACCCTACCTAACCTATCTTTATAAGTTAGGATAGGTTAGGTAGCCAAAAAAGTTAGGTTATGTTAGGTTAGGTAGGTTAGGTAGTCGAAAAACAATTAATTCATGAAAACTTGGCTTATTAGGCAAATCGGGCTTTGCATAGTAGGCAGAGAAGTGCGTTCTGGCTACTAGGTACGACATATATATATATATATATATATATATATTTTATAGGGAAATAAACATGGAAAAAGACTCGCTATCACTTTAAGTCGATCTAAATAGGGTTTTGAAATGGTCAAAAGATTTTCAGATGCAGTTTAATGCTGACAAATGTAAAGTTTTGAGGCTAGGTAATGATGATAGATTTACAAGATACGAGCTAGATGGTGTTGAGATTGCCAAGTCGGATTGCAAAAGGGATCTGGGAGTTATGATTAGTTAGAATTTAAAACCAAAACATCCATGCATGAGTGTTCGTAATAAGGCAAATAGGACACGGATTTATTAATCGAAGCGTTAGTAACAAGACACCTGGTGTTGTTCTTCAGGTATATCTTGCTCTGGTTAGGCCCCATTTAAATTATGCAGTTCAGTTTTGGTAGCCGTACTATAGAATGGATATAAATTCACTTGAATGTATCCAGCGTAGGATGACTAAGTTAATTCCCAAAATTAGAAACCTGTCATACGAAGAAAGATTAACAAAGCTTAAATTGCATTTACTGGAAAGGTGAAGAGTTCTGGGGTGACATGATAGAGGTTTACAAGTCGATGAATGGACATAACAAAAGGAATATTAATAGGGTATTAAAAGTATCAACACATGACAACACAAAACAATGGGTATAAATTGAATTAGTTTAGATTTAGGAAAGACTTGTGTAAATACTGGTTCGGTAACAGGGTTGTTGATTTGTGGAACCAATTACCGCTTAAGGTGGTGGAGGTGGGGTCCCTCAATTGTTTCAAGCGTGGTTTGGATATGTATACAAGTGGGATTGGATGGTTATATGGACCAATAGGCCTTCTGCAGTTACCTTTGTTCTTATGTTCTTAATTATTCAGAATAATCTTTATATAGTAGGGTAAAGTAACGAACATCAATTAAATACCTCCTCAACATAGAGTGAATCCGCATCTGGATGCTTCTTTGCAGACACAATTTTTGCGACTCTGAAGTCTAAACGTGACACATCTACGTGAACGTTATCTTCCTGCTGTTTCCCTCCCCCTCCTGCTGCTGTCTTCTGTTTTTTCTCAAGTTTTTTATCACTTTTCTAAAAAACACAAAAAAAAATTTTACAAAGAAGTTAAAAAAAAAAACAGCATTGAATGTAATGAAACGCCATTTTCTGGACGAGTCCTGGAGGCTCCCCAGAGCTATCCAGGCTGATAGGGATTGTCCTAACTTTTGGCATCAGTCAACGAGGGTGAAGTTCTAGGCTTACCGGGGACCACGGCCAGAACCTGACCCCTCAGAGAGGAACGAGGAGCAATGGCCTATAGAAATGCACATGTGATTGTGGAGCATTTTATATCTGCCATCGAAGGGGACAGGCACCCAGAAAGATAAGTGCCACAAAACAAACCCCTATTCTGGTGAAAACAATAAAAATAGACAAACGAGTGGACAGAACTCCCTAAATGAGAACGAGCAAACAAGCTTGACGTCACATGAGCTGCATCGCATGTCTGCACAGCTCCCACCCTCCCCAGGAGAAAGCCAGAGACCCCACACCGGCGATCCACACCGCAGTTCTGAGGCTGGATATCTTAATACGCGAAAAACTGGCGACTGGAGGGAGAGAGGGTTGCCAGTTGCTATTTTCTGGGATTCACCCAGAAAATGGCGTTTCATTACATTCATCGTTGGTTTTCTTGGGGGACCCCCTATGGCTCCCCAAAGCTACTTCACCAAAGACAAAATAAGAAAGGGGGACTTACCCAAGAGGCAGCCGGTGCTCCACACCTCAACTCAAAGTCACCGGGCAAGCTGCGCCTGAAGCTTGGGTCTGCCACCATAAGGCAAAGAGGACTACCCGCCCTTAGTAAGTCTCCAAGCGAGCCAGGACCTGGAGCAACAGCTGAATCAGGGGAAAGAGATACAGGAACCCCCACCTCGACCAGTCCTGCTGGAAGGCGCCGATCCCGACAGCCTCGTGGTTAGGAAACGGCGCCACATATATCGGAAGACGCCTCGGCCAAGCCGATGTGAAGAGGTCCACCTCCGGGCGCCTGAACGTCTGGCAGAGCCAACTGAATGAGCCAGCACATACCGTCCATTCTGTGGACAGGGGGAAGGGACCAGTACAGGCCATCCACCTAGACGTTGGACAACCCCCCCCCCCCGTACACAAACCGCCAGGAGAGCCAAACCCCGAGAACTCAGCAGATGAATCACCTGAAGTGACCAGCCCCAAAGAGCCAAGGATCGCATCGAGCCCCTTCCCCCTCGGTTCAGGCAATGAACCACCAGGAAGTCTGAATAGAACCGGATCGTTGATCTACAGGCGACCCGAACCCTCCGAAGCGTAAACCACACCGCCGCAAACTCCCGCACCATGCTGTGGGTTCAACAGAAGGACGAACCCCACCACCCCTGGCCAGCCTGGCGAGTACTGGTCACCAAGCCCCAGCCGAGAAACAACACGTCCGTGAACACATTGAGCGAGCTCTTGGGTAGGCACCAAGGCAATGAATCCCGAAAAACCCTTAGAGGAAGGGTTTTTCGGCAATGCAGCAGCTGATGTTGGGGTTGGGTTACCGCTACCGTTAGGTAACCCAACGATAGCAAGAGAGGCGGAAGGAACGTCCCTGAAGGAACCAGAACAGCCAACATAGCCAAACCCTGAGGGACGTCGTTGTTTTGACCACGCCCAAGCACTCCTACTCCTAGACGACCTGACAGAGCGCAGAAGAGGAGACTTGCCCTGCAAGTCCCGAGCCCCTCGAAGGGGAAGGAGCCACCCAACGCCATTGAAGGCTGCGAGAAACGACCTGAAAAGCCCACGAACCGTGGGACCAGGCATAAGCGAACAGAGCAAGCCTACCCACCCCCCATCGCCCCATCAATGGAGCGAACCGCAAAAGGGCCAACGCCCCACATGAGAACCCCACCTGCGCACAGAGCGAGCACTGCGCCGATTTATTCAAATCCAGGGATCCCATCACAATGGTTGTACTTTTCAAATCACTTGTGCTGTCCCTTCTTGAGTACTGCTCAGTACTCACTTCCCCTTCAGAGCAGGAGAGATTGCTGATATAGAGGGAATACAGAGAACATAAACAGTACACATAAACGTGATAAAGCACCTAAATTATTGAGATCGTCTTAAAGCTCTCCAACTGAACTCACTAAAAAGTAGACGAGAGAGAGATACCAAATAATACACACATGGAAAATACTGGAGGGTCAGGTCCCAAATCTACACTAAAATAAAAACGTACTGGAGTGAACGATATGGAAGAAAATGCAGAATAGAACCAGCGAGCAGCAGAGGTGCCATAAGCACAATCAGAGAAGACTGTAAAAAATTAGAGGTCCGCGGTTGTTCAACGTCCTCCCAGCGAATATAAGAAATATTGCCGGAACAACCGTGGAAATCTTCAAGAGAAAACTAGATTGTTTTCTAAAAAAATGTGCCGGACCAACCAGGTTGTGGTGGGTATGTGGGTCTGCGGGCCGCTCCAAGCAACAGCCTGGTGGACCAAGCTCTCACAAGTCAAGCCTAGCCATGGGCTGGGCTTGGGCAGTAGAAGAACTGCCAGAACCCCATCAAGCAGGCATCAAGCAGACCAGGCACAGCCGGGATCGAAGGCAGCACCGGCTCTGAAACTGGCACCTGAGGCCCACCTCAACAAGCGGAACCACTCATTGAGGTGGTTCCTGGCACGACCCCCTCCAGGAGGAACCCACCCGGGACCCCTGGAGAACCAACAAGTCAGACATAAGGCGGGAGCTGGAGGAAACAGCTTGAATATATTTTTCGACCACAGAAGCTGCAAACAATAAAGGACAAAAGGGCGAAGACAATCTAAGAGCCAGGGCCCAAGCGGATTATAAGGAAGAAGCGAGCACCACCTGCCGACACGTGAGGCGTGCAGTGAAAACCGCAACAGTGCATCCTGCAGAATCTGTGCAAACAGCTTCAAAGGCACACAGGTTATCATCATCACTTAGCATCAGGGAAGCATGCCCTAAAATGACTAAAGTTGATCAAAAAGTACAGAGGCAGGCAAACAGATTGAGCACAATGCACATTATATTTCTAAATATCATTCACTACATAGAATTCATTCTCGTTTGTAAAATTTATTATGTTACTTTGTCATTCCCTTTTGAGATATTGCTAATACATTTGCATTGTATTATTTCAGATGATATGTAGTGAACAGAACTAAGTAAAGCTGGATTGAAGTATTCAAGAGTGAGCATAATGCACATGTAGCAAAATTGAAAGGAGAGGGTCCTGGCAATTATTGAAGTTGGGTTTAGATCTTTGAGTTTGGGTTTGGCTCAAGTTTGGAAGGAGTATCAAGTGAGTTGCTAAGTTTCATGGAGAGACTTTTGCCCAGGGATTGGATTGCAACCCTCTCCACTGAGCTTCCTGGCCATTGGAAGAGCAATAAGATGGGTTTGAAACAGTACTTGTCTACATGGGGCTACTTGGAGCCAAGATGTCAAGTTCAAGGTGTCATGTTCTATGATGGCCACATGTTTAAGTAAGGGAAGCTACCAAGGAGGCACAGCTCATAAAATTCACAAACACAAAAGAAGCTGAATTAACAAGTACAGTATATAGCATGACCCAAATGAATGAGACTACAATTCCTAAGGGTGAATGTAATTGGTTTAACTGAATGTAGTCTCAAACAACCATGTAGACAAGTCTGAAGGTATGTGAGAGAGCTTGAGGCTAGGTAACTGGTATTGGCTTGGGGTGCTGCCATCTGATGGCAGAGGCCTGACCATTTGGGAAATTAGCAGCTGGGTTAGAGTGCTACTTAAGGGTACATATTTCATTATTTTTAAATATTGTTTAATATGAACCAAACTTTTTTTTACTAGTTGTATATAAGAAGGGCTGCAACTGTTCTACGTTTCAGTATTGCACCCTAAATAGAAGAGATTTTTTTTTTGTAACGAATTTTACACATTTTCAATAAACTCTACAACCACAATTTTCAAATGAAATCATTTCTATGACACTCATCTATTACATTAGCATATAATTAAGGATTTGTATAGAAAGGATTATCCAAAATATTTTTAGTTTTACTAATACAAGTAGTCATAGTTCTCCAAAAATATATGCCAATATTTCATGTTTGCAGATATTTATAAAATCAATAATTGAACTTCGGAATAAAGTGTTCTATAACGATATTAGACGTTAACTCTACATACAAGGTGTAAATTTCATGTAAATTGAAAAAAAAATGAAAGAGGAGAGTTAATTTTATGTTACTTGACAATAAATGAGATCAAACACTGCCACCTGTGGTTGAAGTTGACTTCAACCAATTTCCTCCAACATTTGCACCCTTACAGATAGGCATACGTTCTGTAAGGTGTAGAAGTTTCATGCAAATTGGCCGATAAAAAATGAGAAAAAATGAGAAAACAAAAATCTAAATTTTTGTTTTTTAATTTTTGGGCATAAAACTAAATGTTAAAATACTTTAATATATGCTATTGTGATAGCCAAGTAGTAATGAGCATCCATTAAATACCTCTTCAACATAGAGTGAATCTGCATCTGGATGCTTCTTTGCAGACACAGTTTCTGCGACTCTGAAGTCTAAACGTGACACATCTACAGGAACGTTATCATCTTGCTGCTTCCCTCCCCCTCCTGCTGCCGTCTTCTCTTTCTTCTCAAGTTTTTTATCACTTTTCTAAAAAGACACAAAACAAAAAATTATTATTACACAGAAGTTAAAGAAAACAATTATCAAAATCAAAATACTATACAGTACAGTACTTTGTAAAATATGAATAAACTGTACAGCCTAAATAATGACTTTTAGAGGTAAATTGCATGTCTTAATTCACAATTAATAATGACTAAAGATGATCCAAGTGGTTCTGGTTAAACTTACTTCACATCAGCTGAAAATGAATTTGCTGTTTTGTATAATCCAGAAATTATCTCTTTACCTGCTATATAAATTTTGCAATAACATTTATCTAAGAGTACAGTGTACTGCATTTTTGTCAATAAAATACTTATCTAAATAAAAGAATTTAACTTTTGAAAGTAAAATACAGTACCACAAAATATTTTTTTTTTAAGTATCCACTCCTGTTAATGATTCTCAGCGTAAGTGTCTGGATTTACAAGGAACTAATGGCAAATATTGAGCAATGAGAAAATAATTCTGCTAATTATTATGTTATGGATATCATTGACAACAACAGGAGGCACCCAGAGTTAGCTATGCTACTACTATACTTGGATAGAGAAGGGAAACATTACCACAGATTCTTCTGAATCACCCTTCAGCTAGCCTAGATATAAATCCCCCCCTAGTAGTGTTTGTAGCATTTTAGAATGTCACTTTCAAATTAAAAATGTATTTCAACATGACACCTCTAAAACTTATTAAGCAATTTATTGAAAAACAAAATCTATCACAAATGTGGTTCAGCCTATCATGTTCAATAGCACTTTTGACTTGCTAACAATCCTACACTTCATATTTTTGCATAGCAAAGTATTAAATTTGGAAAACACTAACTGCAAATTAATATAATCAGCATGAAACTTTACATTTGCCAGATCTACAAGAGTCAATATAGGCAGAAAAAAACCAGCATTGTATGTAATGAAACACCATTTTCTGTGCGAGCCCTGTAGGCTCCCTGAAACTAACCAAACTGATATATGCTATATTAGTTTGGGGTCATCAGTCACAGGAATCCTTTTTCCGACTGGGGACTGCGAACCAGAACCTGTCCCCCCCCCTCCCCCTCAGAGAAGTAATAATTGACATCGACCAGGGAAGGACCCAGAAAGGTAGGGGAATCAAAATAAACCACTGTCTGGTTAACCTGTGCAATCTACAACCTAAAATATCAAAATAACTCCCCTAGAAAGAAACCAAACAAGCAACACTTCATGCAACTATCACTCCCACTCGTTAGTGCTACCCCACAACCCACAACCCCCAAAGGGAGAAAGCCCAAAGCCAGCAGCCCACCACCCCAGTTTTTTGAACGACGAAAAATGCCGACCGGAAGGAAGGTGGGTGTCAGGGAGCCTCTGGGGCTCACCCAGAAAATGGCTTTTCATTATATTCTATGCTGGTTTTCTGTGGGGAGCCCAATTGGCTCTGAAGCTAACTACCCACCGATACGTAAAACAGGGATTAACCCGAGAGGTGGCAGCACCGCAGGTCTCGAGACAAGGAAGAGACAGACAGTTGCGATAGGTGACCCAAGGCCACAGACGGCTATGAAGGAACCGGAACGTTCACGAGATACCAGGCGGCCAGGAGCCTGTTCGACTTCCAAAACTCCAGCACCCAAATGGCGACCCATGACATGTTGCCAAAATCCGCCACAAGAGCAGCATACTGTACTGTACTTTTGAACATCATGGGGTACAAAGATATAAAACATACTACAAGCTGGTGAAAATTGCAACCTACATCCAAACAGAGGAAAATGGCATTTCATTACATTCAACGCTGGTTTTCTGTGGGAAGCCCCATCGCTCCTTGATGCAAACTACCCACAGATACGTAAAACTGGGACTTACCCAAGAGGCAGCAGCACCGCAGGTCTCAAGACGAAGATGAGACATCAGGCTGCGACAGACGTCCCAAAGCAACACAAAGCTGGAGAGGGTCTCGAACTTTCACAAGATACCTGGTGGCCAGGACCCTGTTCGACTTCCAAAACCCTCGCTCCCAAATGTCGACCCAAGACATTTCCAAAGACAGCAGCCAGAGCAACATACTTCCTCACATGGGCATGAGAGTAGACCACAGGCTGGCTAAACTTGGTGACACTGCGGACAACCTGACACACACCAGCCCTAGAACAGGGAACCAGGGAAACCAGATCCACTCAAATCAAGTCCACCACCACCGAACCAGTAGCCCGCAGGTAGTGACAAAGCCGCCACTGGATATAAGACATAATTCACCCCTGGCCTAACCAACCAAGCATCCACCACCAAGAGAGTCCTCCGGAAGCCAGCCATCTCATACTTCGCCAGAAAAGAAAGAGGGCTGCAGACAAACAAAACGACCTCCAGGACCAAAGAAGCAGAACCCTCCGCACCAAAGAAGAACATGAAGCTCCCCAACCCGGCCCCCAGAGGCCAAAGCCAACAAAAACAAGGCTTTCATAAAACAATCCCTGACCGAAGGGGCCACAACAAACCGATGGGAGGAGAGAAAAGAGCACCCAGTCCAAAGTCTAGAATGGCTCAGGTGGTGCATGAACAGGCCGGAGGTGAAAAATGCACGAGAAAGCTTGTGGAACAGAGCAAAAGTGACATCCACCCAGAACACAAGCTGGAACAGCTCCACCAGTACGGAACGATAAGAAACAACAGTAATTGGCATGAGATGATGGCCCATAAAAAGCCAAGAAAGACAAAAACTTAACAGAAAACACCCTACAAAGGGAAAAGAAATGACAAAGATCGTCAGGAGACTTTATACGGTCGCCGAGACGAAGACCGCAGGTGGGACACCATCAAGGAAGAAACCTGATCACCATACAAGTGGCAATACACCAACATCAGAAAAACCAGAAGCGAAGAACAAAGGCCCAGCAGAGCTAGGGCCCAAGCCGAATCTAAAGAGAGCTAGCACAGCTTACCAATATATGAGGCGACAGGTAAAAAACATAGAAACTGCCACCCGGAGGATCACCGCAAACAGCTTCAGCAGGGAAAAAACGACACAGCAGCAGCGAAAACCAGAACCCCAGCCGAAGGCCCCTCACTCAACGCCCTCACATCTGATGAAAGCCATTCCAAAGAAAGCTCTTGAAGACCGAAGAAGCACAAGACAGAGGCCAAATGACTGCGAGCCCAAAAAGTCACTACCCGCCAACACTTGAAAGAGTAGGAACCTGAGCATGTAATTGCACCAGACCCTCATCACAAGTGCAGGAAAGAGGAGGCACACACAGAAGAACTTGAGCGAACCAGTAGCCTGACTACCAGTAGCAGCAGCGAAAACTTCTGGGGCAACAGAAGGGGGCCACCACAACCTAAGCGAACCTAATAAGGAGTTAAGCCGCTGCCCTCTGTCTATACAGGCAAAACTCCAGAAAAATGAAAAACAAAATTTAAGCCCCCAAAATCACACCGCTAGCAAACTAGCAGCTGGAGAGAGACATCAGCCGTTGCATTAGAAGTAAAGCAGACTGCGCTAACTGCAGTGCGCCCAAACCCAGCAAAAACACTTCCCTACCCGGGGCAAGATGGCAAGACCCAAAATTACCAACGCACCCCAAAGGCAAAGACAACCTCAAACACGGAAGTCCTTACCGGAGAGTAAAAATCTCGAACACCCCAGGAAAGATAACCCTGAAATGCAAGGGTAGTACTGTACTTACGGAGCACCTAGGGAAAATCACCCTAGGCGCATGCTGCTCCACTCACAGTAAGATACCTGGCCACTAAGCTACATACACTGCTGGTACAGCCACACAGGGACATAATCCAGAACAGGAACTTGAGGCCAGAGGTGACCGAGCTGACCGCCAGCACATCAGTTCAAGAACCGAGGTGGTGGGCTGCCGGCTTACTTGAGCCATCTCTCCCTTGCCCCTGGAGAGGGGGGGGGGGTAGGGTAGCACTAACAAGCAAGTGCACTAGTTGCATGAAGGGTTACTGGTTTGCTTTCTTTCTAGGAGAACTTCTTTGCTCTTTCTGGATGTAGGTAGCAATTTTCACCAGACTGTCGCTTGTTTTTCTTTAGCCCTGACCGATGGCAAAATATGACCTACTTTAAATGTAAAGTGTTCATAGGCCATTGCTCCTTGCACCTCTGAGGGGACCAGGTTCTGGCTCATGGTTCCCGGTAGTCAAAGGTCTCCTGTGACTGATTACTCCCCAAACTAATAAAGCACCATCAGTTCGGATAGCTTCAGGGAGCCGATGGGGTTCCCCACAGAAAGAGATGTGTTACTGACAGACATAAATAATATGGTAATAAAAAATTTTATTTTACCAAAGTGATTCCTTGGGATTTTTCAAGACTCGGCAAGCAATTTTTTAGCCTCTCCACTTCCTTGCGCAATTCTAGATTTTCCTTCTTCAACTGATCTTTGCGTACTTCTACAGCAACAGACTGCAACTGTCCAATCTGAGGATAATAAATGTGGTTATAAAATTTATTATAGTATTAAAACTCAATGTTGGTCATATTTACCCAATTTACCTGAGGGTCACTAACCCTAGTGGCCTCGATGAGGTCAGGAAGCCGACTGCTTTTTGTTTTTCAGAAATCCATGTTGTGTCGATTGTACAAGGATGTTCACTGAAAGTTGGTGAATGATTCTTCCCTGAGGATTCTCCCCATGAGCTTGCTGATGTATGATGTCAAGCTGATCGGCCGGTAGTTTTCTGACGAGTTTTTCTACCTTTTTTGAAAATAGGAGTAACATTTGCATATTTCCAATCTAGTGGGACTATCCCTTATCCAGAGATTTTGTGAAAGTAGTTTCAACGGTAGGCATAGATCTTCTGCCAGTTCCTTTAAGACTTTGGATTGGATTCCATCTACACCTGGGGCTTTTGAGTATGTTAGTTTGTCAATTTTTTTTTTCAAATTACAGTACAGTATTAGCATGAAATTTTTCAATGTCTTCAGCCGAGGTAATTTTCATACTGATTTTTGTGTCATCTGCAAAGGATGATACGAAGCTGTGACTTGTATTTTTGTCTACATCTGATGTGAGAATAAGGAAAAGCAGTGGTGCAAGGACTGTACCCTGAGGTACAGAGCTTTTAACTGCACTTGGACTCGATTTTATATGGTCGACTGTTACTCGCCGAGTCCTGTTTGACAGAAAACTGAGTATCAAGTATCCTGCTTTACCGGTTATTCCCACTGACATCATTTTGTGTGCTATCACTCCATGGTCACATTTATCGAAAGCCTTTGCGAAGTCCGTGTATATCACATGAGCATTCTGTTTTCTTCTAATGCCTCAGTGTCGTAGTGATCAAGTAGCTGTGAGAGGCACAATCTTCCCGGTCAAAATTCATGTTGGCCTGGGTTTTGAAGGTCATTAGTCTCCAGGAAACTAGTGACCCGACTCCTAATCACTCTCTCAAATACTTTTATTATGTGCAACGTTAGTTCAACTGGTCTATAATTCTTTGTCAATGCTTTGCTCCCACCCTTGTGTAGAGGGGCTATGTCTGCTACTTTAAGTGCTCTGGTATCTCCCCCGTATCCAAGCTCTTCCTCCACACTATACTGAGTGCCTGTGCTACCGGCACTTTGCATTTCTTTATAAATATTGAATTCCATGAATCTGGACCCGGGGCCGAGTGCATGGGCATGTTTTCAATTTCTCTTTCAAAGTCTTGTACGCTCGTGTTGATATCAGTTATATTTACAAGGGGTTTGGATGTCCCACATAAAGAAATTGTCTGGATCTTCCACTTTCATGTTGTTTATTGGAGTGCTAAACATGTCCTCATACTGCTTTTTTAGGATTTCACTAATTTCTTTGTCATCCTCCGTGTATGAATCTTCACTTGTACAAATAGGTCCAATACTGGCAGTGGTTTTTGCTTTTGATTTCGCATATATAAAGAAGTATTTTGGATTTTTCTTTATTTGCTGAATTGCTTTCTGTTCTAACTGCCTTTCTTCAGTTTGATATGAGTGTTTCAATTTCCGCTCGATTTCTTCAATCTCCCTATTTAAATTATTCCTTCTTTGACGGGAAAGTCGTGTCTGCTTAAGCATTTCCGTTATTTTTTCCTTCTTTTATAGTGTCGTCTGCATTTTCTTTCTACGTTGGATCTCTTTCTGGCTTTCCTCAAAGGAACATGTTTCAGACTTGATACGCTTCCGAAGTCAGTTTTTCTATTCCTTCTGTAGGACTTGTATTACTTAGAACAGTTTCTCATTGAATGTTTGTATGTTCCCCGTTTATTTTCTCCCAGTCTATCCTTTTATTATTAAAATTGAATTTACTGAATAACCCCTCTCACTTGATCAACGTTTTAGGTCTATTCTGAGTATTGATGGTCGTTTGCACTTCAATGAGCTTGTGATCTGAGTATGTGGTATCTGATATCGTAATGTCCCTGATAATGTCTTAATTGTTCATAAAGACCAGATCTAGAATATTTTAATTTCTTGTTGGCTCTGAAATCTGCTGGTTGAATGAAAATGTGTCACAAAATCTAAGTAGTTCTCTAATCTGTGGTTGGTTAGCTCCCGATAGATTTCCTGGTATAATATTATTGTTTGCTATTCTCCATCTGAGACTAGGCAAGTTAAAGTCACCTAGGAAGATAATATCAGGTATTGGGTTCTCCAAATTATCAAAGCTATTCTCTATTTTGTTTATCTGTTCTGTGAATTCCTCGGCCGTTGCATCAGGCGGTTTGCATATTAGAATAATCACTAAGTTTATTTCTCTATTTTTAATCCCAGTACCTCTACCACCTCATTTGTAACGTTAAGGAGCTCCGAGCATACAAGGTCTTCCCTAATATACAGACCCACTCCTCCATGTGACCTAATTTTCCTCTCACACCAGTATAGGTCATATCCTGGAATCCAGATCTCACTGTCTAAGAATTCCCCTGCATGGGTTTCTGTGAAAGCTCCAAATACTGCATTTGACTCCGTGAGGAGGCCATTTATGAACTGTACTTTGTTGTTTGTTCTTGTTTTTAGTCCTTGTATGTTGGCAAAGATGAACGAGGATACTCTAATAGGGATGGTTAGACTGGGAGGCTTTTTCGGCAAGCCCATTGTGCTTGGACATATTGAGTTTGTTCTGACCAGTGCTGATTGTTGTAGGGCAGTTGCCAGTCGTAGTTGTAGTTCCCTTTTGGTGTGTAATTGTATCTGTAATTCTGGCATGCAAGTGGATCTGGTATCCAGTTCCATACACTCTCCATGCTCCTCCTTTTGAATTCTCTTTCGGTTTGGTATAAAAATTTTATCTCTGCTTTTTTATCTATCTATATTATCTTTATTATCTCTATATTTCCATCTTTATCTCAAATTTTATCTCTGCCTTTCTGATAACATATACATATACAAGATTCATTTGTAAATCTCTTAATTAAACAATATATCAGAGACGGTAGAGTTCAGTGTTCTATGTGTGAAAAAGTTGCTTAACCCTTAAGTGCACAACACATCAATAGCTGTGGTGAGTAACTGTCGCGGAATTGAACACCACCGCTATTGATGTGTTAGAATATCATGCAAGATTTAAAAGTCCCCACAGCTGCACGTGGTTCACATCAGCTTCCACAGGGCTCTTGTAAACAGATCCATATTTTTTTTTTTTTTTTTTACCAAACCACACACTCGAAAGTGAAGGAACGATGACGTTTCAGTCCATCCTGGACCATTCTGAAGTCGAATATGATGAGGTAAGGAGGCGATGTGATGAGGTAAGGAGGAGATTTGAGAATGGTCCAGGACGGACCGAAACGTCGTCGTCCCTTCACTTTCTAGTGTGGGGTTCGGTCAACATATTTCAGCCACGTTACTGTGACTCCTCGCCTGCAGATCCATTTTTAAAAAATATCATGGGCAACATTCCTGGGTGAGAGAGCCTCAGTACTGAGTGAGCCACCAAGGCTGGCACATGCAGCAAAAGCTAACAGCACTGTTGTTCAGCTTGAGATAACAGCATCACCTAAAATTGTAAAAATAAATACGTACAGTAACTGGTATTATTTAGCAATGATAGTATTACAGAAGACCCCAGACTGTGATAAAAAAGACCAGGATTCTGATAATACAGTAGCAGGATTGTTGTGATAATTAATGCTGTGTGTAGTATGGGGGATGAGAAATGCTGAGGGAGGTAGCATCTGCTGACTTTGTGTGGCCATCTGTTATTGTCTGCACTCACCATACCAGCTTAGTGAGTTTGCTATAGTGAACACAAATGTAGATACATATACATAACATGTGTATATAGTGAAATAACAGCAAAAGGAGTATGTTGGGAGGAGCCATTTTGGTGACAGAGGTGACATCTGCTGGGTCTCTTGTCATGCAATTTTATTGTGGCCACTATGTTGTTTGGACACCATACCAGCTTAGTTGTACAGTTCTGTTGAATAAAACATGTAGATACTATACTCATATATAATGTGTGTATATAGGAATAATAACACCACAAACAGTATGGTTGGATGAGGAATGTTAATGCATCTGGCCTTGAACAAATAAGGGAGGGAGGGAAGTGTCAGCTGACTCTTTTGTACTCACCTAATCACCTAATTTTGCTTGCGGGGGTTGAGCTCTGGCTCTTTGGTCCCGCCTAAAAAGGTGGTGACCTCTCATTGTCTGAACTCACCATACCACCTTAGCTGTGCAGTTATGGTGAACAAAATATGTAGATACTTATATATAATGTGTGTGTGTACAGTATATAGTATAAAAAGAGCACAAACAGTATAGTGGGAGTAGGAATGTTGGCAAGTGAGGGAGGGAGTATCAGCTGTGTGATGACCTCTTATTGTCTTGTCTTACCATAACAGCTTAGTTGTACAGTTGGTTCACGCATTTTATTATATAAATATATCACAATACACACTATTGAATAATATTACTGCAAAACAACAGAGAAAAAATCAGACATTGAAATAATTAGGTAATAATATCTTTGTGGCAACTCCCGCCTGACAGCTCGGGCGGAGCAAACCTCCTCAAGCGCTTGATCTGTCAACACCTCTTTTTTGCCAACTTCCCCCGTCCTATTGCGGCCAAAATATGCCACCTACGATTTATTATTATTATTTTTCCCGTGATCAGTGAACACTTATAAGATGAAAAAAATAATTTTTATTTCTTGCGCCTGGGCATATTGCAGGCTATAATTGCAAGAGCCGCCCAGAAGTTAAGTAGCGAACGCATACTAACGAATAACGATAGTATCTATATAACAAAACTATTGTCCCATGGAGTCGATTTAGCTTTGAGACACATTTTTAAATAAATATTAAATGTTTTGTGGCTATTTATGCTAGATATTATTACAGTATAAATATGCATTCTACTTGTTAATATAACCAATTAAATTTGCAACAATTTCAGCAATGAAGTGCGATGACTGGATCACTGTGTATAGTAGACCGATATGCCAGCAAACACTTTCCAGGAGACAATATATCTTGGATAAGTCGCTCCACAACATTGTCACTAGGACTCTCGACTTCCTATGGTGTCATCTGTCACATATTTACTTCTAATTTTGTTATGAAATTAGATTATTTCAGAGTAAAAATAGGTTTGATCATGTTCTGCATTAAGCACCAACGTTATAGTGAGTAAATATACCATATTTATTCATTACTTATGTAATTACTTTGGGTGGTTATAAATAGGAGCTGCCTCGTGTGGGCCAATAGACCTTCTGCAGTTACCTTTAGTCTAATGTTCTTATTACTTACGTAATGCTAGCAGGCTTTGGGTAGCTCGTGGTGGCTTTGGGTAATTCGGTCCGTCTAATTACCACAAGCTACACAACCTTCAGAAAGCTTCCTGGCAATACGTTAGTAATGAATAAATATGATATATTTACTCATTATAATTATTTATTTATTTATTTATTTATTTATTTATTTATTTATTTATTTATATATATACAAGAAGGTACATTGGGTTTGTGAGAATACATTGGATAGTACAGTATTTACATTCTTGTAAAGCCACTAGTACGCACAGCGTTTCGGGCAAGTCCTTAATCTAGCAGATGATTTTAAGTAGGTAATTTCAATCAGAATTGATAAATGATAAAGATACATTACAAGAGAAAAATGAGATGAGAGAGATAAGTAAGTATATTAAAGCACATTGTTCTATTAAAGCTCTGATTGATTACATTGACAGCTTGATTAGTAATTTAAACAAGATTGATAGACACCATACAGGAGATTGACAGCACATATAAGACAGCAATGATCACAATGGTAAAGATGTTCGGATTGGGTACATAAAGATTGGGAGACTGGGTAGCAAAAGATACAGATAAACAAGATTTATAAACACCATACAACAGATTGGCAGCACATATAAGAAAACAGCAATGATCACAATGGTAAAGATGTTCAAATTGGGAACATAAAGGTTGGGAGATTGGGTAGCAATTGATACAGTGTAATTTTAAGGCAAAAAGTGAAAAACTATGAAGATGAAATTAGGTACTTTTTAGTATTGATTTTGAATGATGTAAAAGTTGGACAGCTTTTCAATTCAGTAGGGAGTGAGTTCCATAAACTGGGTCCCTTTATTTGCATGGAGTGTTTACACAGATTAAGTTTAACTCTGGGGATATCAAAGAGATATTTATTTCTGGTGTGGTGATAATGGGTCCTATTACATCTGTCCAGGAAGAGTTTCAGACAAGGATTTGCATTTAAGAACAGGGTTTTGTAAATGTAGTTGACACAAGAGAATTTGTGGAGTGAGATTATGTTTAGCATGTTTAGGGAGTTAAACAAGGGGGCTGTGTGTTGTCTGAAAGCAGAATTTGATATTATTCTGATAGCAGATTTTTGCTGGGTGATGATGGACTTGAGGTGGTTTGCAGTGGTTGAACCCCATGCACAGATACCATAGTTGAGATAGGGATAGATTAGTGCATAATATAGAGAGATGAGAGCAGAGTTAGGAACATAATATCTGATTTTGGAGAGTATACCAACTGTTTTAGAGACTTTCTTAGTTATGTGTTGTATGTGGGTACTGAAGTTGAGTCTCTTGTCTAAGAATATGCCAAGAAACTTTCCATCATTTTTATTGCTAATGTTTACATTGTCAATCTGAAGCTGAATTGCATTTGTAGATTTGCTTCCAAATAGGATGTAGTAGGTCTTTTCTATGTTAAGTGTTAGTTTGTTGGATTGAATCCATAAGTGGACTTTTTTTAGTTCATTATTAACAACATCATTTAGTGTATGTGGGTTGGGGTTGGAGTAGATGAGGGTAGTATCACCAGCAAACAAAATAGGTTTCAGAATGTTAGAGACATTAGGCAGATCATTAATGTATATAAGAAATAGAAGAGGTCCCAAGATGCTGCCCTGCGGCACTCCAACGGTTATTGGTAGAATGGGAGAGATTATATTATTGATGGCTACACATTGGTGTCTATCACTAAGATAGGATTGGATATAGTCCAGTGCATGGCCTCGGATTCCATAATGATGGAGTTTACATAAGAGGTAATCGTGATTAACAGTATCAAAGGCCTTTCTCAGGTCAATGAAGAGTCCAATTGGAAACTCATTTTTGTCAAGGGCTGAGTAAATTATATCAAGGAGACTAATAATTGCATCTTTGGTACTCTTTTGAGAGCGGAAGCCAAACTGACAGGGGCTAAGAATGTCGAATTTTACGAGATTGGAGTAGAGCTGTTTGTAGATAATTTTTTCAAATATTTTTGATAGTATGGGTAGGTTCGATATTGGTCTATAGTTGTTTATGTCTGACGGATTACCTCCTTTATGAACTGGCGTTACTCTTGCTTTTTTAAGGATATCAGGGAAGGTATGACACTCAAGGGATTTGTTGAACAGCAGAGCTATAGGTGGCACAAGGGCGTGGGAGGCGCTCTTGTATACAATGGATGGAATTTCACTGATGTTCCCAGCTTTGGTTTTTAGTGAGTGTATGATGGACACAACATCTGACGGGCTGACTGGTGAGAGGAGAAGATAGTTTGGATAGCTGCCTGAGAGATATGTGTTGATATGTGTCTGAGTCTGTCGGATTTTACTTGCAAGGTTAGCACCAATCGATGAAAAGAAGCTATTAAATTCATTCGCCATTTCTAAGTCAGATGACAGTGTAAGGCCATCCTTAGAGAGTGTTATCTGGTTGTGGGAGTGTTGTTTAGTTCCCAGGATGTTAGATATTCATTACTAACGTATTGCCAGGAAGCTTTCTGAAGCTTGTGTAGCTTGTGGTAATTAGACGGACCCGGGTAATTTACGGACCAGGCACAGGTGGAAACATAGTACCCAAATGAGCCACAGGGAAGTTAGAAATAACTTTTTAAGTGAAAGGGTAGTTAACAGATGGAATGCATTAGGCAGTGATGTGGTGGAGGCTGACTCCATACAAACTTATGATATGATAGAGCCCAGAAGGCTCAGGAACCTGTACACCAGTTGACTGACAGTTGAGAGACGGGACCAAAGAGCCAGAGCTCAATCCCCGCAAGCACTAGGCGAGTACAGGCCGAGGACCTGGTAGTGAACGTGAGGTGAAACACTAATATCCAAGCGAAACTTTGCAGTTTTATGTATGTACCTGTTTTGTGAGCAGCTCAATCATATGTTCTGCTTGAATTGCTCTCTGTTCAAGTCTGGTAAGCACTTGCGGTGAGGCCATGACGTACAACACCTGAGCAGGGACACAGGACTACACACTCTCCGCCACCCGGTCACACATACACCAAAATATCATCACGCTTCACATCCTCTAATGTCGCCGATTCTTAAGAAAACGTTTCTCTCAACTAAATGTATTTATTATAATCTTTAATTATTTCACTAATGTACAGTCTGATTGTTAATAAATATATCTTAGCATATATATATATGTTGTCGTAATTCATTCATAATGATGTAGCGATAATGAGGGACTGGTCAAATGGACTATAACTATTTCGGATACCGTCGGTTCAGTACACAAAAGACAGTTCGTTTACAAATAAGTTTGTATACACGAACCCTTTCGTATATAAATATGCGCTAGCTTGTGTTCGCTGCCGTTCTCGTCTTCCAAGACACTATTATGACCAAAACGAGACAAAAAAAGTTAATAATAAGTTAAGAAGATGAATAAATACATGGCACTTCATCATATAATTAGCGCTTCCATTATCAGTGCTTAACGCACTAGCTGTTTGTACTACTATGTTTGTTAACAGAGCTCACTCTTATCAGAGAAGGGAGGGAAGGGAACTATCAGGGGGAAAGCAATTGATTGATTGATTGATTGATGAAGATTAAGACACCCAAGCGGTGGCACGGGCATGAATAGCCCGTTAGTGGTAGATTTTTTTTTTTTTTGAGTGAATGTGATCTTTGGTCGTGAAGGGAAAGCGCCAAGCCATTACGAATATATGGCTTTATTGCTCTACATTGTTCTACAACAAGTCACTTGAACTCCAAACTTTTCCAGATATTCTAAAAAAAAAGCGAGAGTAACCCCAGTCCATAAATGTGGTAATCTCACTGATGTCAACAACTTCAGACCTATATCAATTCTGCCAAACTTGTCAAAAATATTTGAAAAACTAATCTACAAGCAGCTTTACGCTTATCTAGCCAAACACAATATACTTAGCTCTTGTCAATATGACTTCAGACCCAAAAAAAAGCACTAACGATGCACTTCTGAGCTAAATAAAGCCCATCTTTGGCTAACTGCCAACAAACTCACCCTCAACATTGACAAAATTTTATATATTTTGTTTGGTAATAAATCCTCATCAAATAAATCTCAGGATAAACAATACCTAAATTTGTAACAAAGTAGATGGCAAATTCCTTGGCGTTCTCATTGACCACAAGCTGAATTTCCAGGGACACATTCTAAATATATCATAAAAGTTTAAAAAACTGTTGGCATTCTTTCTAAGATCAGATATTATGTACCTCGGCCTGCTCTGGTGACGCTCTATTACTCCCGCAGCTATCCTTATCTCAACTATCCTTATTTGTGCTTGGGGTTCTACTACCCAAAATCATTTACGTCCTCTAATTACTCGACACAAAGCTGCTATTAGGACAGTATCCAACTCTGGCCCCAGACATCACTCGGTACCACCTACTCAAATCTCTGAATATGTTAGATATTAAGTCACTGCACATCCTCTCATGTGTATTATATATATACATATAAAACGCTGAACTGTAATGTCAATCCTGACCTTAAAAGCTTCCTTGAAGGTTGTAACAGAACCCATGAGCACCACACCAGAAACAAATATCTTTTTGATATTCCAAGAGTATGACTAAATCAAACTAGAAATGCTCTACAAATCAAGGGACCCAGAATGTGGACTGACCTTCCCAATCATGTTAAAGACAGTACCTCTCCCAACCAGTTTAAGATAAAAACTAAGCACAACCTAATTAACTCCCTGTAACCTACTTTACTCCTAAAATGTCAACCCATGTCTGCTATTTTTAAACAATGCTGTTTGTCGACCAAATTGTATTTCTGTTATTTTCTGCCATGTCCCCCCATTTTTATTTTTATATGTTCTCAACACAATTTATACTTTAATCTCAATTAGGATTAAGTTTTAGTCTTTAGTGTTTTTCCTGCCCGAAACGCTTTGCGTCATAGTGGCTTTAGGCATTGTATGTGCTAGCTCAATCTATAAATCCATCAATGTTTGTTTCACACCTTGTATGTATGTACTTTACCTGAATAAACATTTGAATTTGAGTAAATATTTAGGACCTTATCGCATCAAAGAATGCAAGAACAACAACAGCCACATTCTAGAGACTCCGGACCGGCGTCGTAAGACACAACTTTGCCACGTCAACCTGCTCAAGAGTTATCAAGGTAATCCGCCACCATGAAGTATTATTATCTGTATCTGCTTTTACCGAGAGGTATCCCAACAGTGACGCATACCCCGCTATCTCTCCATCTGAGTGTAAAAATACCATCGAGACCATGAAGTCTAATAGTGATATCTTAAAAGATCTTCCCAAATACCTAGAACATTTCCATAATAGTGCTCCTTTAATTAAATTACTATCTACCCATAAAAAACTGTTTCAAGACACTCCACAGGAATGTAATTTAGCGCAACATGATATCCAGCTGCTTCCTGATACGATGCCCATCCGTCAACCTTACTACCGCATCAGTCTACAGAAGAGAGAAGCCATGTTCGCAGAAGTATAGTACCTCCCCAGCATTGGATTAGCTACACCTTGTGAATCTCCTTGGACTTCACCATGCATACTGGTTCCCAAACCATATGGCAAGGTATGAACGGTTACCTTTTGGACTTTGCAATGCCCCAGCTACTTTCCAGCGAGCTGGGGGCGGAAGTGAGTGATGTATAGATATGATGGGTGGGTGTGGGTGAGGTGTAGGTAGGACAGGTGTGGGTTGTGTGGGCCTCTATACCGTTCCCACTGCCGCTCACATGACAGGTGTGGGTTGTGTGAGCCTCTGTACCGTTCCCACTGCCGCTCACATGACAGGTGTGGGTTGTGTGGGCCTCTGTACCGTCCCACTGCCGCTCACATGACAGGTGTGGGTTGTGTGGGCCTCTGTACCGTCCCACTGCCGCTCACATGAAGGTGTGGGTTGTGTGGGCCTCTGTACCGTCCCACTGCCGCTCACATGACAGGTGTGGGTTGTGTGGGCCTCTGTACCGTCCCACTGCCGCTCACATGACAGGTGTGGGTTGTGTGGGCCTCTGTACCGTCCCACTGCCGCTCACATGACAGGTGTGGGTTGTGTGGGCCTCAGTACCGTCCCACTGGGACTTGGAGATGTGTGTGTTAAAGAAAAATGTATGTAGTAGGTATGATGAAGGAAAAGAGGTCGTGAGTCAGTACATTAGACACCCGACGCTTAGAAGTTAATATGTACGCTTAATATGTTAGACATTAAGTCACTGCGCATTCTCTCATGTGTATTATACATATATAAAACGCTAAACTGTAATGTCAATCCTGACCTCAAAAGCTTCATTGAAGGTTGTAACAGAACCCATGAGCACCACACCAGAAATAAATACAGTTTTGATATTCCTAGAGTACGACTTAATCAAACTAGAAATGCTCTACAAATCAAGGGACCCAGATTGTGGAATGACCTTCCCAACCGTAGACTGTAAACCGTAAAGACTGTACCTCTCTTAACCAGTTTAAGATAAAAACGAAGCTATACCTAATAAATTCCCTGTAACCTACCTTACCCCTCTAATGTCATCCAATGTCTGTTTTTTTTAAAGAGCGCTGTTTGTCGACAGAATTGTATTTGTACTGCTTTTTCAGCCATGTTTTCATTCCGTGTTTTCATTTTACTCTTTATGCTCAATTAGTATTAAGCTTTAGTCATTTAAGTTTTTTATGCCCGAAACGCTTTGCGTAATAGTGGCTTTAGGCATTGTATGTACTAGCCCTAACTATAAATCCATCACTCTTTGTAAAATCTCTTTTATGTATGTACCTTATCTAAATAAACATTTTGATTTTTTTTTTTAGAAAGGCGGGGGTCCAAGAGCTAACCGCTCAATCTTGCCGGCCCAAATACTAAATATTTAATATACACATTTTACGTGAATTCGCCTGAAGGCCACCATCTCTGGTGACCTCCACGAGGTAGGAAGTCCGCGGTTGCTCAAAAGCCTCCTCTATCCCCAGTATACCTGAGGATTTTTCCGGCTTAGTTTTAAAGGGAAGTAATTAATGTTTTGGCATTTACGGTTTCAGCGGGTGGGCGGTTCCATTGGTTTATTACCCTAGCAATGAGTGGAAAACAATCGCCTGTTCTCTATTTATATTGCCGCTTGTTGAGCTTTAAGCTGTTGACCTTGTGTGCGTTTCACAAGGGGATTAACATCTTTTAATATAAGAACATTGGGGACTAAGCCTCAAAGAACTCAGTATATAGGCAAGACAACAACATCTCTTTCCAGGCGATTAACGATGCATAAGCAACAGGGCTCCATTAAGGAACATATAATCTCT